ATTACTCAGACACATATAAATCAAGCGAAATACTACTTTGTGCATAAATGTGCAAAAAGGAATAGTATTACAACACAGTGAAACAGTTTAGGCTCTTTAATTAAGGATGTGATTGTTTTATGAGTACAGTCAAAAACCACAGTATGATAAGTCCATACCTATCCTTTCTAAAAGATACAAGTATTTAAGGAGAAGTTTTTCTAGTGCCGTTCGGGTAGGTGCTGCTCCAGCACTGATTCTACACAAGTTGAATATAAATACATTTCCAACCTGAAGAAAAAAACCTTTCTTAAATACATTCTTTCATTACTTGTGGGAAACCTTTGCTAACGCTTAGATAAAAAAAAACACCTTTTTATTGTTTTAGGACTTGGGCTTTGGAGTGTGCTCAGCTTTATCACAGCCTCTTTGTATTTAAACCTATGGAACACATTTTTATACAGTTGAGGTTAGATCCAAATAGTTGTACACCTTGGTAAAAGACCAGATTGTTGCTGAATTTGAGACAAGATTCTATGAAAAGAAAAATATGTTTTATTTAAAGCAGTTAGAAAAATAAATCATCACTCCACATGAGAAATCAAGTATGAATTGACTTGTTTATTTAGTTCTTCGCAGCCGGAAAGAAAAGGCCTTGAAACATAGTCTGTTAAACGCTACTGGGTTTGTAGAGCCTGTGAAGACTCATGGCATTTAAACTCAAAGGCTCAAATAAAACTCACATCTTATTAAAAGAAGAACTCTGCTAAAGGAATCATACAAAGCCCATAGCTCAACATCATTTCTGACATTTTCTCTAACTAAATGAGGAGTTTCAGATTGATCGTTTAAGCAGCCACTGTCTTTTGTTTAACAGGTATTCAGATTGAAAAGATTTCTAAGCAGTTATTTTGAACTTCTTTGAATAAATTGATTTCTTCTAATCATTCTTACTGCCAAATACTAAAATTACTCTGGTTCCTACATATTGTTTGAGAATCTGCAGTTTTTCTAATTTCTCAATGTATTATATGGATTATTATTTATTCTAGGATTTGTTGACTTAGAAGACAGTTTTGAGTTCAAATGGGTTTGAGTTACAAGTAATCGAATAAAGGATAAATAACATTATTGAGAATAGTTAATTTACAGATAAAAGTCACATGTCAGTATTAATATTTTATTTCAGTTTCACTTTTATTGGGTAATATAACCATATGATAGAAATTACTCAGCATTCAATAAAAAAAAGGAATAGGTGAAGAAGTCAAAAACATACATAGCCTACAGTCCCACTGATGCATTCCTAAATGTTCCTGAGCAGGTTGCACCAAAAGTAGCTCTGATTTGTGTTTGGAACAAATGTCCCGTTCAAACCCCAAATAATCTCCAACTTTTGGATATATTGATTTTGATTTGAGGTAAAAATTGAAAGTTTTTTCATTCATTTTTTTCTTTTGAAATTAAGTTATCCAATACGTAAGACACTGAAACAAACCCATGACTTGGTTATATCACCACCACCAACAGTTTGTACAACGTTCTCTTTGAAACAGTCTTGTCATAATGACCAAATATTCAGTTTGTCCCTAAAATAAAATATTTAATTAAAGCAGGTAATCTTAAGGATGCAGGTTAATCTGTTGGCTCTTTTATTTTGCTTTGCATTTTGTCCTCCCTCATCAAGGAAAGCTGTGTTCAGTGTCACATTCATATTAAGGTAACTGCCAAGCTTTCCTTTCTTAGTGGTTTATGAATTATTTTGAGTATCCTAATAAATATAGTATTATCTCAGGAGGTTAGTTTAGGTCAGGTGGTTAATAGTTGAACAGGATGGTTAAACAGTTAAGTAACCAACTGAAAATAATAACAAGGCTAAAAATAGGCTTTTATAAAGGCCCTGACTTCAACCCTCAAAAAACTAAAAGTGTAAAAAGTGAGGTAAAAGCTAAGAAACCAACTGATTTCAATCATTTCTATAACTTAAGCAAAGAATAGGAGATAAATATTTGCCAAAATTATAAGATAGTTAGGAACTTTTGAACAGATATTGGTGGGGTTCTATGCAGACATTTTTAACAGGTATGTTTGATCTTGATGTTCTATAGATTAAAATCTACAGTGAATGTGAATTATCCACTTAATTCCTGTTTTTCAGTGATTTCATTCAAGTTGTTTGCATGCCAGGTTAAAAGAATTTCTAATTTATCTGAATGAATAATTTTCATTAAGACAAATAGTCTGAAGAGAACCCAATGTTCTCTTCCCTCTTTTTGCACCAACAGGATGCATATTGTACAGCTATAATGTGGAGCATAAAGAGTTCAGGTGCAGCCTTGTAGAGGTTAGGGAGCTCAGGAGGGAGTCTGTGCAGCCATGTTGGGTAACAACAAAGGGCAGGCAGGGGAAGGGGGATGTCTCTGTGCACATGTGTGTTTATAGAGCCGGTGTTGACACAGACACAGCCGCTCCATTGTCCTCCTCAATCTTCGGTCGGGATGTTTGAGGGACGCCTCACTGCTTGGCTCCCTCTAATCTCTGCTGGAACCAAAAACCCTGCGGCTGGAGGGCCTCAGACCCTGAGGGACACTGTCAGCACTGGGACTGAGTGGCAGGGGAGGTTACTGCTGAGAAAATGTGGAGCAGTCAATTACAGATTACTCATGAGCTGTTTTAAAACTGCAGGCATTGAAATAACCCAGGGGATTACAGTAAACCCACCAAGTAATCCTTTGATTTAATAGCTTTTGATTTAGTTTTGTCTTTTTGAATACGGAATTATAATTTATAAAATAAATATATAAATGAAACTAGATGAATAACTTCCAAAATGACTTCCAAGTACTTCATAGTCCATTAAATTCAACACATTAAATAGCTTATTCCGTGTGTTTAATGTGTTTTAAAAGAGAGCTGGGGTTAGTTTTAATTAAGTAAATCAAAAAACGAGGTTCTTATATTAGATTCTTTATAAAACCATTTATTAGATCATTTCAAGTTCATAAACATTAATAATCCAAACATTTGCACCTACATGATAACCTTGTGCTGAAGTAGATAGAATAAAATACGTTTTACATTTTTGATTTTATTTCTAGGCCATCATTATTCATACTCAGAGCTCTTACTTAGAGTTACAACCCAAAAACAAATGGACATAACTAAGAAACTGTTGTTTGACTGAGAATTTGGCCTTAACTCTTGCTTTGTGCATGATAAACTGCCCGTACTTATATAGTGCTTTTTCAAGTCAGGAGACTTGACCAAAGCACTTCACATTCGCATCAGTCATTTACTCATTCACATACACACACTGATTGTGGCAAACTACATTGTAGCCACAGCTGCCCTGGGGCTCACTGACAGAAGTGAGGCTGCCGTACACTGGTGCCACCCGGCCCTCTGACCACCATCAGAAGGCAATGCGGGTGAAGAGTCTTGCCCAAGGACATAACAACAGTGAAAGCAACAACTCTCCGATTACAGGACAAACTCCTGCACCCTGCACGGCTGTACATGATGCAGTACATGATGCATTTGGCACACCAAATTCATACAGCAGCCCTTATGTAACAAAAAAACAAAAAAAACAAAAGAAAACAAACAAAAAAAACCTGATCCAAACAAAAAAAACCTAACCCTGATCATTAGCCTTAAGGTAGTTGTAAGAGACCCTAGCTTTCTTTTACCTTGTAGTTGTCACCTTTATTTGCGTTTGCCATTTGCCTGCCAAGGTGTACAAATTTAACCATGCTTACATTGAGACATGTTTTGGCCAGAAAATATCTCTCTAGGTAAATCCAAAGTATCTGAAACTATTGGATAAATTTATTTTGTACTTAACTGTAACTGAGAATTTTAAGAATGTTTATTTTTCCTCAAGAGGAATCTCCCTGATAGAATTGGCATGTGACAGATATTGTGGCAGGTCTAAAACACCAGCTTTGAGGTGTCTGTTCTCTGTTCCTTTAATGCAAGCCTTGCCAAAGATTAATTATTCTAATGGACCCTTGCGTCTGATACCAAAGAGTAGGTTTTATCCACAAGGACATGGTAGAGAGTCCCCCCCCCCACCCAAAGCAAGAAGGCGATATAAGTAGATTCATTTCAAGGTGCCTGTTACTCCAAAGACTTTATTAGATTTAGTTAATGAGAGAGAGCAGGGCAGGCTGGCGGTCTGAGAGCAGGTTGGGGAGCTGAAACGTAATTAAACTGCGAGTCTGACGATGCTGCTGTTATACACTTTGTTATAAGAAAAAAATAATCACTCAGCAACTAATTTCTATCGAAATTAAAACAGCTACATCATTTGCCAGCCTTGTTTTTCCATTTTGTCCTTTAAGAGGAATTCTCCTTTCTTAGTTCTTCTTCTGTTCACACCACCTTTACACCTTGAACTCTCCATCTCCATGCCTGCAACCAGACGCTCCTCAGTTAGGGAGGTGTAGCCACATGTTAGTCTGTCTGAGAGCTGGTTAACCTTTTAGAGTTTTATGTCTTCCATATGCCCTGCTGGGGCTTTTATGGCTGAACTGCGTAACACAGGAGAGGCTTTTATGTTTCCAGGCCAGCACACATAGGTTTTCTCGTCTGAGCAATAATGAGTGTTAGTATAGATTTCCTGTGGCTCAAACAGCAGACTTAATTGACCTGAACAGCTCTGAGTGACTTGGCACCTCCCTTCTCAACCTTCCCTCCTCCTACACCCCCCATCAGGACCTTTTCTCTGGACAAAGACGCTTTTGTCTACAGGCCTGCGCCGCAGTGCTCTAAAGCTTTGTTGACTGTTTCTGTCTGACAGAGCAAATAGCTCTGGCCTCCTTTTGTTTATTGTAATTTTTTAAAGTTTAAACAAAGTTTATACAAAGCCCCATTTTCTGAGACTGTTTGCTGCCTGTGGCGGATAAATAAGGAAGGAAGGAAAGAAGCAGATTCGTCGTTGGTTGAATTTGTTTTGCTTATAATGACCTCTTCTGATTTCTCTCTATATATATCTCTCTTGCTTCCTCCCTCTGTTGTAGGGATCACATATACACGGTGGACACAGAGACTGCCAACGGTGATGAGATCTTTTTCAGCAAGGTGAGTGAGACATTGGACTCTTTGAGGACTGCTTGTTCTTGTCTTGCTGTGATTTGACAGTGTAACCCTAAAAACCCTCCCCGTTCTGTGTGTCTGGGCGGACACGTGGGTGTTTGCATGCTTCTTACACACCTGCTCAGGGACGGGAAACTGACGAGCTTGCCATGGTGACCCTGCTAAGACGATTATCCAATCAGTTGGTTAACAAACCGCTTGCGTCACATGCACTCATCAGTGGGACAGTGGAAGTTTAATAGGACTTTAGTAGAAGCTAAATGGAGTGGCTGACATGTGGATGAAAGTTAAAGACAAAAATATGCATCCTAGAACACAGGAAACTGACAATAATGCTCAAAAGTCACAGCTTATGTTTTATATATAATTTTATAATTAATTATAATTATAATTTATAATTTTCTCACCATATAAAATAACGTAGGTTTGAAAATATGCCTCTGTTTTCCTGGAAACTTTTTAACACATATTCAGAAGTCTTTGTCAGTTCTGAGGGTTCACACTAGAGCAACCTGTAGTTGGAGAGCTGTTGTTTCATCCTACAAAGTTAGATGCCAAAAACTAAACCAACGTCCGGTTGCCTCCAATCTAAGCCTGTTATCTATCAGAGGTTAGCAATAAAAGGTTTTTAGTGTGATAAGCTCCATGGTAACCAAATATAGCTGTGTCCGATGTTAGGGGGTTTGCTTTACTTCTTCTGTTACTGGTTCGTGTTTTATATTCTGTTTGATTCAAAGATGAAAACTAAATGCAGAGCTTCTTACTCCTGTACATCCATACTGTGTTCGTACAAAGCTTCCATCTACAGGCACTCCACATTCCATGCATCCTCACTTGAAGATTTGGGTAGAGTGCAAAAAATTTTACTAACGTAAGAATAGCACAACCTTAAAAATGTGTTTACTCAAGTAAAAGTAAAAAATATTCCTCCAAGCAATTACTTAAGTAAAAGTAAAAACGTATTCTGTAGAAAGGTTACTTGAGTACTGAGTAACTGTTGGATAGTAACAACAGATTTAATGTTTATAAATTATCCTAGCAAACAGACTTTATGTGCCAGTTGTGCATTTTAAAGACTCAGATGCATAAAGAATACAAATAAGTTTCATGAATATAAAAGAACAAATTCATGATGAAATACTTTATACATTTTTTTCAACATAAAACTTAGAAAACCAATCTTTAGAACATGAACTGTATATCTATATTTTGCAATAGCTCAAATTACTCACAGAGGACAGAGTACTGAGAGATTTTACTCAAGTAGGAGTAAAAATACTTTACAAGAATATTGCACAAGTAAAAGTAAGAAGTACAGCACTGTAGACCCACTCCTAAAAGTAATAATAAAAAAAAAAAATTCCTACTCAAATAAATGTAACCAAGTAAATATAACTAATTACTACCCACCTCTGGTCCAATGATATTTTTAGATTAAGAGGTAGAAAACACATTTCCAGAGAAAATGACAAAAAAAATATTTGTCCTTTCTTTCCCTTTGTCCTCCAATATGTTGGACAGAGACTCCCATTACAGCCCATTACATAAAACACAAGTTCCGTAGAAACATTTAAAAAATACCAAAGACAATTCAATTTAACTGGAATAAAGCTGTTTTGGCTATACCAAGGTAACTTCTAACATGTTATTTGATAAAAACTTTGCAGACAGTAGACCAT